GGATATTTATCATTTGGAATTTATTTTAAAGGTTTATGGCATTTTTGTTTATCGGAAATCTTTGATTTAAGGCGAGTTTATATCGTTGTTTGTTTGTTTATTATGTAGGAAAAAATATATTCGAGAAACAGAAATTTTTAAAATCTCACTACAGAGCTAAAAATGCATTCATTTTAATTCGGAAAGCTTTCCTATATTAGTTTTTAATATGTTTATAAATCTACATACTCAATTTGAAATTTTAAAAAATTAAAATTTTTTGTATATTTTTGCCAATTTTAACCCCTTATAAAATTTTTAAAAAAAATTTTAAATTTTTTTTTCTGCAAAAGATAGCTAGATCGATTCAGCCGTTGATGCTGATAAAGAATATATATGATTTATAGGGTCGGAAATGACTCCTTCACAAGTTACAAGCTTCTGACTATCCTGGAGAGGCATAATGAATTTTAATATATTGATATGAATGAACTATATAGCTAATTAGAGTACTAAATTAGACAGTGGTACATGGATATACTAAACTATTATATCTGATTGATATATCTTATATCTGATTGATCAGCATCTTTAGTCAACTTTATTCATTATAATTGAGTTTATTTGGATGATTAACTACAAAGTTATTAGTTAGTTAAATATTCCTTTCTTCTTTATTCTATCTCGTTCTTTTAATCTCATCCGCTTCTTAGTTGAATGGTTTCGAACTGGTGGAATCTGAAATTTCAATTCGGGTTTTAATTTTCAGTTTCTAAGGTTTTACCTGTTCTTTTCCGAGTGTCTGCTTACCTTAAGGTGCGTCTCCTCCCCTCATCTCTAATTTCCGATGAGTTGACAGAATGTGTAATGGCGATGCTGTTACGTGGATCTGCTCTCCTGCCTTCGATTATCATAAGTCAATCGAGTATTGGCCCAACTAACCGCAGCCGTCTGACAGCCGCATGCTTGTGGCTGTCTGCTGCGCGTTCTGGTAATTCGATTGCAGTGTTATACAACACCTACTGACACGTCTTTGCGGTTGCTCTGAGTAGTTAAATACACACAAATACGAATGGGATGATGGTGTTTGCTCGTCAAACGATGGGATATCTGAAAAACTAAATAAATTGCAGGTTTTAGCGATGGGTCTCTAAAATTGTCAAACAAATTAAATGTGAAAAGTATCACAAGCACCCCCAGTTAAAGCCAGAATATTCCAGATTAAATAAGCAATTATTTATTAAACAAATTAAAGCTAGAAACTATATAATTAAAGCCTGAAATTGTATAGAATTAAAGTAGAAAGGAATTAGAAAACAGTTAGAAGTAAAGTAATTATGAAAAGTGTTGTCTGGAAATATTAATTAATTAGACAATCCAACAGTACATTGTATGCTTCAAAAATATAAATATTTACCCCGAGTTCTGGATGCCCCGCTGAAAAATGTAATTTCATCTGTATAGAATAATCAAAGCTTTTAGCTTTTAATTCCATTTTCCTTCCAAGCAATTGTCCAAAGTCAAACTCAACAGGGAACTTTTTGTGCCGCGCATTAAAACGCTTGGCATTTTCTATTTCCCGGCTCATAATGCAGAGAAAAGCGGAAAATTGTGGGAGGACAAAGCCTGAAAGTGGGGTTACCGAAAGAGAGAGAGAGAGAGAGTGTGAGAGAGCTGATTAAAATTTTGCAGCGACCGCAAATTAAAGCGAAAACATTTTGAGGGAGTCCGTCGCGTGTTTGTGTGCGACTCCATGGAAGCGAACTGCAGCAGGCCAGGAGGCACGGGGCACATGCAGCAATGCCAGGCGAAAAAGTTGATCCTTCTGCCGCACCCAGTCAGTGTAGGATAACACACAGCCCACACACTCCACACATGCCTCTGGCCCACACATGCACGTCCAAGTTTAACGCAAATAAATTGCGCATTCAGACCAAAATTAACACGGCTGGAAGGCAGGAGGAGGAGCCACCATAACGAAGCTTAAGCACAAAAATATGTGGAGACCGACAAAAATACGGAAGCCAGCCAGAGAAGGGAAAATAAAAACGAAAGCCAAGTGGGCAATATGACTCGCTTTTACCCCACTGTTTTCCCAGCTTTTCTTATCTCGCTCTCGCTCTCTCTTTTTATTCGTTATATCCTCCGGATTGCGTTTTCTGTGCCCCTTTTTTTTGCCAGCATCAGCAAGAAAATGCAGACAGAAACAGGATGCAGGAGACTCCATAACTTGCAGAGTTCCCAGCAACGCGCTGGGATATCCGTTTTGGGCATTCCCATGATTGAGGTTGCCCTCCGTTAAGTCTGTGACGGCGACAGCTCCGCCATGTCGGTATTTGGCTTCCATTTTGCCTACTTGTCTATGCATGGGCCATGGCGGATTGCAAGCAGATCCATTGCACTAAGAAAAATAGGGTAAAGAAATCCTTGGAACTTGAGAGGAAATATTAAAGAAGGCAGATGGGAATAAGCAAGTCTTTGTGAGTTTATAGTTAAATAAAACTCTTTATTTAAACATAAATATTCCAAGTCTTTCTAAAGTGTAACAACCAATTTTCCCTCAGTGCCAAAAACGACCAGCAAGCTTCGCGTTTGGCATTTAAATTGATGTATTCCGAGCTTCTCTGGCTCTGGCCGTGACTGTCATAAATGTGATAAGGGATGATATGCCTTGTTTCAATGCCCTTTTCCCTGCTGCTGCCCTCCCCCCTCTGCGTATCCATTTACTGACATTTGGGGCCTGACTGCTTTGTCTTAATTAATAAGTCAATAGCTTGAATGCTTGAGGCTGCTTATACCGCCGCCACCGCAACGCCACCGCCCAACCGATGGCAGCTGCTCGCCTCCATAATTTAGTTAATGCGCTCCTAAACTAAGGCCTCTGTCAGGCAGGACCTCCTTCTACTCCTGCTGCTGCTGCTGCTGCTCCCCCTTTACTCTATTCATGCCCCAAAATCACAGATGCTCTTGTGCCCAACAAAGTGCTACAGATAGAAGCAATTTGCCTGCGAGACAAGGTGACAAAGGTGTGCGCGGCCATAGTACATGTGTATGGTAATGGAGGCCATAATAGGAGGTTGCCTTTGGGCCATGTAGAAACGCGTATACCCTGAGGAAGCCGTAATTGGAAGTGAGCAGAAAGGATTATTTGAGGGAAGTATGTTAATTCGAAGATAAGAAAGGTTTAGGGAAATATAAGTAACCAACTAAATTTATTAGTTGTGGTTTGTGTTTGTCATGACATTAACTTTAAGAATGTTTTTATAATCAGATCTCATTCTATTAAAACTGCCTTAAATTTAAAGAGCAGTCTCTTCTTGTATATTTTAGTTAAATCAAATTAAGTTCTCCTAGAAAAACCCATTAACTTGTTTGTCATTCAAGCTGAAATTTGATTTAGATTATAATATCCAAAGTATCTATCCTACATTTTATATCCTTGCCACCTTTGAAATAAAATGAAATCAGTTTGAAGCCTTCAAAAAAAAAGCCACATTAGCTTTGTTGCCAGGCCTAGGCAGGAAGTGAAAAAAGTGAGTGTAATGCTGCCGCTTAATTTTGTTACGAGCCTCATGCACATTTACGCCATTTCGTAACATTTTCATAATGGCGTCACTGCCTGCATATGTGAGTGTGTGTGAGTGTGGATGACTGACAACATCGTTTGGCGGTTGAATTTCTTCTTTTTTTATGCCGGAATGTTGTGACAGAAGCCTCCACATCGGCAGCAACATCAACATCATCAGCAGCATCGGCATTCAGCTGGGCCTAATGGCGCAAATGTTCAATAAAGAGGCTTTTAACGTGTGCTTGCTCCCTGTTCTGCACTCCTCCTCCTCCCTCACAATCGATGAACTAGAGAGTGGGGACGCTGGAATCCTGGCATCCTGGATGTGATATACATACTTTGCTGTGCAATCTGTGCCCCTCCCTGTGGCACTCCCTTTTTAGTAGCCACTAGAACGCACTTTATGGCCCGCTCTCACCTCCGTCAGAGTACAAATGAAATGGCCATATTCATGCCCATTCGAGTTCTGAATAATACATGGCAGCCATAAAAGCCATGTTTATTAGGGTCTCTGATAAAAATTGCAAAAAATTTATATATATATTTAGCTCGGTTTCGGGCTTTATTTATTTGGCTACGCATTTCGAAAACAATTAATTTCGCTGGACTAAAAAAAAGTGGCCTGTCCTTCCGCTTGGCACCCGTTGTGTATGTGTGTGTGTGTGTGTGTGTGTGTGTGTGTATTTTCGTTGCCTAATGCTTGAAATTTGTTTGGAAAATAAACACTCGCATGGCCGCCACACTTTCATGCCCCTTGATTGATGTGATCCGAACCTCCCCGCCTCCGGTGCCGCCTTCCAGCTTCTCCTTGGTTCCAGCACATGGTGCGGTTTTTGTTCCGTTCCATAACAAATAAATCTATATGTAGAGAGAGCATCATGAGTTCATTTTTAATTAAAAATTGCCTATTCGCGCGCGGGATCCAATAAATTCAATTCAGGCGAAACTTTTTGTGACGCACAAAACACACACACAGAGTTGATAAGTGAAAACTAAGCGTCTTGGCTGGCCATAAACAAGTATATTTCTTCTAAAAAGTAATTACAAAATCATCTGGGCGCCATATAGCCACACGTTCCTTACGATATGTGTATGTAAATGCCTTCACGCACTTTGGTCTCTTCAGAGAGAGAAGCAGAAGAAAGCTTGTGTCATTCAATTATTTTGCTATTAGTTGCTCGTGACACTCCACTTCACAGAAATGCCCACACGTAGGCCTCCTCGTTGGGCAGGGGATTTAGCTTTCATGGTGGCTGGAGATGCCACAGTACCCAACATAACGTACAACGCCCCTTGTCAGTATGCCCATGATTAATAAATACGACACACTGTGGACCTGAGGACCAGTGGACCACAACATTACTGACACCTCCAGAAGGCAGCCATCAAGGTGGGCTAAATATGCTGTGGCTTTGCCATTCGACTCGGGTTTTTGCCGGGCCACAACCACAATATGAAACTCACTCACTAACGTCTAGAAAAGAAGTGCACAGAAAAATACAGATAGTCAAATAAATATATTAAGATGATTGAGAGATATAATATAATTAAGAGAAGCTCTTACAATTGATTCTCTTTGATAACACCTGAAAAAAACCATAAAAAACTGTAGAAAATTCATGAATTATTAAACGTACCTCAAGCTTATCTTTCATAATCTCTTAAAATATGATTATGTAAATCTCAACTGTATAACCTTTTCTTCAAGTGCTGCACACATGCAAAGTTGCCATCGCACGCAGCTCTTTTGTCAGAAACAGGTGACAACAAGTACACGTAGCATAACGTGTACTAACTTCACTCGAGAGGCGGCGAACATTAGCCACAAGGAGAGAGCCCAGCATAGAAACCATCTATCCACATATGTGTAGGTGTATTTCAACTTTAAAGGCCTGCAAATTGGTATTGTGGTTGGAAAATATAATGAACTTTGTCACTCAGACGGTAAGGGGTTACCTGCCTTTAGCTATGTTTTAGCCTCTAATAATTCGCTTTATTTATCAAGGATTATCAACTTAACAGGAAATCAGTAAAAGCTTTTAGCCTGAACTCACATTAAAGTTAAGTTTAAAAGGGAATTGTTAATGCTTTGGGAGTATATATTTCACTGGGGACCAATTTAAGTGAGCCCGCATGGAAATGTCCCTTGTCAAAACCAATTAGTTGAGTTATTTATATATATATACTCTTTCTCCTTGCAGATTAAGGATATCCATTGACCTGCAGTCCCACCAGCATTCAATCAAGCGCAAATCGGTCAAAAACTTGATAGAAGAGGTCACATTTTCGGCTATTTCTTGCTAAAAATACCAATTTTTGAAACTAAATGACGCCTGTGTCTGAATCCGAGGAGACCCTGCTGCCACATACCGCAACGCTGGACGCAGACGACGGCCACAAATTAGCCAGCCATTTGCAGATTTGCAAGTCTAAGCATTAGTCCCCAGGACCTTGAGCGAAAAAAGGAGGAAGAAGCACTCCCACAAAACACACAGGACGAGGAAAACATCAAACGAAAGGACCCAGCAATAGGAACAACAACAAACAACAAACATTTAACTAACAAACTCAGCGTGTGTGTGCGTCTGCGACTATTTTTTTCGAGAGCGCCAAAGGATTCATTAAAAAACCGCCAACCTGGAACTAATGGAATTAGAGAATATTGTGGCCAATACGGTCTACTTGAAAGCGAGAGAGGGTGAGTGTGGCTTTATTTATTTGCCTGTGATTTAAATATTTGCTAGAAGAGGCTTTAAAAACGAAGGGAGGGGAATGCGTTTCCCTATTTTAGTAGAAATCTTATAAAATTTTACTCAAATATAGATTTTTCCCTCTGTTCTGCCTCTGTCCTTTAACTAAATTCAATACAACAGAGACCTGGCCCAGTTTTTCTCTCATTTTTTGTATTGGGACACAACATCCTTGAAGGGCACGTGCTGAAGTGGCCTGCGCTGTCACCTTGTCATCGATTTTTCGCCACCCCACCTGCCCCAGCCTCTGAAGGGTGGCTTGTTTAATTGTAGGGATTGAAGTTGGCTCCGGAATGAAAGAGGATGCTGCCCACGAAGTTGTCCTCGTATTCCACCTCCGCCTCCGCCTCATCTGCCTGATGCCTGGTCCTGGGCTTTATCTAAAGTTAATGAAGCGTTAAATGTTTGCGCTCCAGCAACTTGTACATTTTCATGCTCCATGTTGCCTGGGCTTTAAGTGCTCTATTGGACGCAGCCCGCAGCTACACTTCACTTCGTTATCGAGGTCACACTTCAATTGCAGGGTTCTCCAAGTTCACTGTCAATCCTTGGGAAAAACCCACGCCCATGGTGGAAAATATATAGACTCATTCCCTTTGCCCTGGCGCCATTGTTCTGTTTTTATTTACAGCAAAGTCAACTTTGGCGATTAGGTCTGAGCAAATTTATGCAAAGTTATGCATTAGCAGGCGAAAGAAGAAGTCGTTGCAGGCGCCCAAAGGTCACCTTCAAGATGGTTATCGCGAAGGCACACTGCATTCCCCAAAAACATGTTGCATGCCACATGAGGCAGAGGTACTGGGGTAGTGGGAGCTATTACTGTAGCCTTTTTGCCGGCGCCCAATCAAATATTTCATTTTAAATGTTATTTATTTTATTGCTGTCTGCCCGATAGTAAAAGCGAAGCTCCATTCCCTTCTTCCCTCTTCACACAGAATGTATCTGGCAGATACTTGGGCTCGTTTGGTTTCAGGCCGTCTCAACAGATTTAAATGACAGAAACGTGCGCAAAATTTCAATTTGTAGTAATGTAATATTTTAGAGCAGAGCGGAATGGAAATGGAAATGGGACTGGACTGGTACTGGTACTGGTCGAGGCGAATGGCTTCGGTTTCGGTTTCTGGCTTGGAGCGGGATGAGCATACACATTTGCAATACATTTTACGAGTCAAAAAGTGAATTTGTCTTTTGAGAAGAGCAGCAGGCAGGAATAGCATAAAATCAAGTCGCGCCGCCAACTGCCGTCGGGCAACGAGAACCAAAATCCATTGCCATAAAGTTTTTCCAGCTCTCCCTCTCCGTCTCAGTTTTTCCCCCAACCATTTATTCCCTGGCACTTTTTCTTTTCTCTGGTTCAAGGAAAAGTTCGCCGCTTCCACTCCCATCCCCATTATATATATTTTTTTAGCCGGAAAAGTTATGGCTGAATTTTATACTCCGGCATTGTGCTAGAGAGAGAGTGCCACCAGCTGAAGTATGCATAAGCAAATGCAAATCTAAAGCAAAAAGGATGATTGTTCGCGTCAGGGGAATACATACATACAACACGTTCTTTTTAGTCACTCATTTACAAGGACTTATTGCTGTCAGACTTGGGAAGCTAGAGTTTTTGGCAATGCTTACTGAAAATATTCCCTATCAAAATTTTGACTCTAGTTAAAGTCTCGATTAAGAAGATTCGCTTTATTAGCTACATTATTATACATTTTAGGATTTCATTTCATTCGTATAAATTAACCTAGCGACTATCTTTCATACCTATCAAGCACTTTGACAGCCGCAATCTACCAAGTGCCAAAGAAATTGATAGTTGGACTTGTACTAATTGTTGCTTTGAGCTACCAAACATTGCGAGTGGTAAAGCCTTGGCTTCCCCTGACACTCCAATCTGACATACCCATCAAATCAAGGCCTTCATTAAATGCTGACACTTCTCGACTGCTGTCCATCATACACATATTCCATATCCCATATCCTATAACATATATAAGCAATTGTTTCACTGGTTGATATAGATTGCCTTTATAATTGTGTGTCTGTGTATCTGGGGACTGGGGACTCGAATATGCATGTGCGATGTGCGATATGAAATGCAAGTCAAGTAGAAGTCAACGGCTGTCAGAGTTGGTCTGCAAAAGCAATTCTCTCCTATCAGTTGTCGGCTTGTCGAATGCCCAACGTGCTGCCCCGGGATCAATATAGGGATCGGAGGTCGTGAGCAGTCGTTGTACGTCACTCAGTGCGTCACAAAAGCGATGCCTTATCGCCGACTCCCTGGCTCTGGATCCCAGTGGGGCCAGGCCAGTGGTAGTGATGGTAGTGGTGGTGCCAGCGATAATGGAGCTGCGCCGGCTGCATTCATTCTGTGATGCCGTCTGGTCGTTGGCTCATCCAATGACCGGGCCACGCCCCAAAGCGTGTTTGGTAGCCAAGATTTTTGCTCTAGAAAGCTGTTTTTGGCTAATTGAATGCATTCCTTAATGACTGCAAATGCTAAACTGTTGTTTTTTGTGATGGTATTAAGGAAAAATTATCTTTTACAGAGAAAGAAAAGATTAACCTATATCAAATTAAAAACATTATGAAAAAGAATTTCATATTGTTACAGATACTCTTTGTATATAGTACTTTGCTTGCATTTAAATTGAAAAATGTAAGAAGTTAAGTGTTTTTCTCAGTGTCTACTTATTTCCTTCTTACTTTTCTTTTGGATGCTGTGGCATTAAAATGACGTCGCATTAAAATGCTTCTGCGGTTGAATCAAACTGGGTAGGGGAAGGGAAGTGGCAGGGGAAAATGTCGCCATTGCCGCATAAATTTCATCCTAATGCCTGGCCATAATGCTGATTATACCAAGTGGCAGACTTGACTCTCGACTGGACTCTCTACTCGAAGTTAGAATGAAGTGAGAAATTTAATTTGGTCCCAGCTCAAAAGTTTCTCGCTGCTGCTGCATTCTAGTTATCAGGTCTGAGAAGTGCCATAAAGAAGTGGAATTTATAGTGCGATAGCGAATTAAAAATCCCCCAACTAAAAGTGAACAATTAAGGAGTAAGAGAGTCACAGAAGCTTATCGCCGGGTCTAAAAACAGCAGCAGCAACTTAACTTGTTTGTCGGTGACTTTTGATGTCTCCAAACCATTTATGCACTGCTGAAAAAATAAAAAATATATATACAAAATTGACTTTGAAAGATGTTTTAAAGTTGGAAAAATGTCAAATCGTGATGTGGACATTTGGGTAATCTTGTTTAGTCTATAAACAAGACATTTATACAACTTGTTATGTATTATATATATTTAAAAGTTAAAGCTTAAGTAATTTCTAAATATATTATTTTTTAAAAGCTACACGTGCAGTTCATTGACCAGAACAACTCACTCAGTTGGGGAAGGGTACAACACAGCTACACGAAACACGCAAATTCATTTCAAGTGGTTGTTGGCTATTCCTGTTCTCTCTTTATCGGCTCTAACAAGCCCTTAGTTGTGTGTATGCCAAGCAGTTAAAAATCTAGATGTTAATTATCGCACGCAACTCTCCCGGGGTCCAAGGGAAAACACACCGAACCTACACAGAACCTCGGACAACAAGTCCAACTTGGTAGTGGTGGTCTGTAGGCCGCTTGGCAACATGGCAACATGGCAACATGGCAACATGACACTAGGGCCAACTCATCAAACCGGCATTCGCCGTTGGATGCGAATGATGTCCTGGGGAGATGGAGATGCAGATGCAGGGACAGAGAGAGAGTGAGATGAATGGTAACTGCGGTCTGCGGTGTCTTTTGTGCCCTTCGATGGTTGCTCCAACTGGTAATGCTCCTCCATATCTGCAGTTGCAGCACGTACCGCCCACAAGCCACGTTGAAGCAACTAATTTGCAATGCCAACACAGGGCGGATCTGGGGCTGTATCTCCAGTATTTGTATCTGTATCTCTCTGCTTGAACCCTCTGCTGCCTGGGTGTCTGGTAATTGCAATCAAAACGATTGTTGTTTCGCAAATTGAAGACGCATTGATTGGCCCGCGAATGTGATGCGTATTGCTGCCACGCATCATCGCATAGAGCGATCTAATTGTATATGTAAAATGGGAATGCCAATAAAGTGTCATACCATCCATTACAATGTGTGTGTGCATTAGTTACCGCAGCTAGCTGCTCTTGTCGTAATTAATGCCATATTTTTTTTTCATATATCTGAACAGCGAACATTTCCGCTGACGTGAACAAACAATATTCATTAACACCTTGATGCGGATAAGTAATATGCGAAAGCTGATGCAGAACAAGTTAAAACGATCGATAATGATCGATTTGGGGTTACCTTTTAAATGGGTTTTAATGGGTGATAATAATAAGTGTATTAATCTTAAGATAATACATTCTCAGGACTTACAAAATTCCCCGAAAGGAATTATGTTTAGGTTAATTGTCAGAAAAGCTGGCAGTGATGAACTGCCTTAGATGTAAGCTGAAACAATTAAACATTATAAATCAGCTACTTCTCTTTCAAAAAAGCTAATGTAACTTACAAATGCAAGCATTATAAAACTTAAATTAATTCATTCTCCTATAATACTGGTCCCGTAATTTATAAAAATCAATTTAGGAATAAAGTAAGTTGATTCTGACATATATCTACATATATTTTAGACACTCACATTTTGTAATTTATCAAGTTTAAATGAAAACTCTGTTCAATGGAGTAGTAAAAGCAATTATCCTGGAAAATTAAATTCAATTAGTTGACCACAAAAGGATTTCCCCCCATTGAAAGGTGAAAGCCTCCTAAGTTGTCGCTGTGAACAATGGCCTGCAAAGTAGCAACAATAGTTATGTATACAATGTTATATTGTTGTACTGTTCACAAAGTGCCAATCGAGAAATTCAATTATGTGAGAGATTATAAGGAAGTTTACAGAGCAAATGTACGAAATGGAAGAAA